TTCAAATAATTTGTAATTTTGTTAAACTTTTTAGAAGTTTCAATTAAATTTAAATTATCAACAAAAACTGTCACAATTGCAAATCCAATATTTGTTTTCTTTTTGAAAACACATAGACAGATATCGTCATTTTATAACTCTCTTTCAACAAATACTCGCTAAAGCGATTATACAACATGCGTCCGGATTATTTCAATCCATATAATGATATTTGCAATTTAATTGAGAACATAGTTATCAGGCATATGTCATTTGTTCCTAGCACTTTGTAACACCGTCAAACTAAATAAGAATGTAAAAGTGATGGTACTCATTACGGGATAATATGTTTCCTCATAATCAATTTCTGATTTTTGTGAAACCTTGAGTTACGAGTCAGGTTTCGTATTTTGTAATTTTATTATTTTCATTTATCTTCCATACAAAAATCCATTTATATCCAACAGAGATTACATTTTCAGGTATTCAAATTACAGGTCCAAACACTTTTCATTTCTCTATGGAATTCAATTTTTCTTGTATGGCTTCTTTCTATTTTGCTCAATCTTTTCTATGTTGGCCGTCTTTAACAAAAACTGTGGTTCAAAATTCTCATTTTGCATAATATCAAGAATCACATTAATCGCGAAAATATTGTCTAGACAACATTATTTTGTTCCGATAATTTATAATATGACATATAATTTATTGAAATCTCATTATTTTTGGACACTTGTGGTTCTTTGAGAATCATATTTTCAATATTCAATTAATCATTTTTTTTTAATGTTACTTTTTCCGAAGATTTTGGTTGGTTTTTCTCCTGTACCTTTCTTTTTCGAGGTACAAAATTTTTTGAACCAATTGATCGATCACGTTTCTGACGTATTTGAGATTCATTTGCTACAACAAATTGTCCTTCTGGGACATCGATTTTTTGCTGAAATATTTTCCATTGATATATATGAATTTGTGTCATATTTCTTGTATCAACAAATGCATCAGTTAATTGATTTATAACCTTTTGCAAATGAATGATTTTTTCAAACTATTACTCACATTAATTGTTACGAGGATCAAAGTGAGATATGGTTGTTTCATTCCAAGAAAATTATCTTTTTTTTACATGATGTAGTATTTTCCCTCTCAAAGTTAGGAAATTCATAACATCACAATGACAATCTGCAAAATGTGCAGTAAATAAATCACCCATTAAAGGTTCAAAATACCTAATAATAGATGATGAATCAAAACTCACATAAATCCAAAGTTTTCATTAAGGACTCATTTTAGTACGTTGTGGGGACGGAATATGAATTTGGACAGCACAAGCAAATATTCGCAGGTGAGAAATATTATATTCATGACCAAATGTCGTTGCAAAGGTGAATATTATTAATAGGTAGTTGATATGATACGAAACCAATGACGCATCATATAATATAACGACCCCAAATAGAAGCTTGAAGTTTTGTTTTCTTAAGTAATAGTCTAGGAAAAAGTTGTAAACATTTAATAAATGACTTCGCTAAACCATTTTGTCTATAGACATGCGTAACTGAATGTTCAATAACAATCACAATTGACATACAATAATTAACGAATTCTTGTGATCTAAATTTATCAGCATTGTCAAGACAAATTGTCTTGATTGAGTAATCGAAAAATTAAGCTCGTAATTTTATGATTTGAGCAGCTAGTCTAGTAGAAGCTCCATTTCTAATAAAAAGTAGGCAAACATGTGACCGTCTAGTAGAATAATAAATTAATACTATAAAATAACGAAATGATCCACATAGTTGGTATATTGGCCTACATATATCTTCATGAATTCTTTTCAAGAAAATTGGAGATTCAATATTGACATTT